GAGACTTTTGTGAAAGCTCAAACTGAAAAAAATAACTGTGACACCCCAAAATACTTCCTGCCTCCAGCAGCTGCTAATAAACTCAAGAGTCAAAAATGCGTGGCTTATAAGTTCCGATTGGTGGTAAAAGCTGATGGGACCCAAGAGGCCAACAACGGCTGTCGCAAGGTGAAAATCATGCCTTGCTCCTTCCCAATGTCCAAGGACCCTTCAACGAAAGGCCTTGATCCCAATCTCAGCCATCAAATGACCAAACGAAAGAGAATGGTCCTTGTCAAAGAGAGGAAAGCAGCCCAGACCTTGAGTGCCATTCTCCTGGCCTTCATCATCACATGGACTCCTTATAACATCATGGTCCTGGTGTCCACCTTCTGTGACAAGTGTGTCCCTGTCACCCTGTGGCACTTGGGCTATTGGTTGTGCTATGTTAATAGCACCGTCAACCCCATCTGCTACGCCCTCTGCAACAGAACCTTCAGGAAGACCTTTAAGATGCTGCTTCTCTGCCGATGGAAAAAGAAAAAAATGGAAGAGAAATTGTACTGGCAGGGGAACAGCAAGCTACCCTGAAGAGTTCACATCTCCCACAAAAGAATAATGACCATGTCTTGTTTATGTGTTTTTAAAATGTCATCTGTCATTTTGAGTCCCTGAATAGTTTTCTAAATTGCCAAAAGAAAGGTGTTACAGGAGGTAATTGCTGCGAATACTAAAAGATTCTTGCCTGTCACCACTAGAGTTTACCAATGAGGTAGACAGAACCATGACCTTTCACTGGAAGCACACTCAGGTCACAAGGAACAATGACCTATGGAAACATTTATCTAGTTTTCTGTGGGGAACATCAGAGACCAGATGGAAACCCTCCCCTGTGGAAACCTGTTATAGAATTTTGTGCAATATTTGTCTACGAAGTTGTCTTGTACCAATAAGAATCAGGAGAATGTCAGTATCATCTATTAAGAAGAGTGATATTCAACTGACTTCTAAGAATGTCTTCTTCATAAACTGATCAGTATTTATTATGCAGCTATTATGTAGACTCTATTGTGTTATGTTTTCCTGACCCTACATCTGAAGGAAGCTATTGCTCTTCCCTGTCATAACCATGCCAATTACTGTGCCCACTCAAACCATGCCAATCTCCATGGAACCATTGTTCCTCTTATGAGTCCAGAAAGATACTGGGACCTGTAAATACCCAGTGCTTTAGAGGGGCACCTATTCTGCAAATAAAGATAATTTAGTCTCTACAGTCAGTTATTTTCATTTTTACCAGTGGGATTCTTTTAGATAAAGCCAAGAATATATATTGTGTATTCTATTTTGTGCCCATATGAAGCTATTTACTTGTGCTATGTTCGTAGGAGGACTAGTAGTATAACAGCCTTCATTGGTAAAGATCTTCTCCAGGATATTTAATCATGGTTCTTTTATACTGTTTTTCCAGAGCTTGCTTTATAATTTCTTCACAAGACAAAACTGAAGCAAAATGGAAAAATAGATTCAGTTTCACTTCGGGCTTTTGAATTTCTCTAGGAGCCCTTTGGAAAGTCCCCAGTTTCCCTCATGCAGACCCCTAGATCACACTCAGGCACAGGCAGGTCACTGTGCTGCCTCCAGGCAGAAGTGCTATGTAGGGCACACAGAAGAGAAAAGCTTTATTTTTCTAAAAGTCCTTCAAACAGGGATGCAGCAATTATTTACTTATTCATTCCTTGCCAAATACAGTCAAAGATGAGAAGCCCAGAAAAGCCCAACTGAGGTTCATCGGAGCCAACTTAAAAACAAAATTTTCAGCTAGAGGGGTGTTGCTCTGTAGTAGAGCACTTGCCTAGCATGTGGGAGCATTTGTCTAGAGTTAATCTCCAACAGCAAAACAAAACAAAAAAGGGAAACCTTCATCTTTAAAAATAGGCCATAGTAATGCATAAAAATAAAAGTTACACACATTAGAGGATTGGGATCATTAAAAACCAATTTAACTGAAATTTCTATATATATAAACAAACTGAATCTAAGATGCTTTTTTGAAGCTTCTGAAAATAAAATAATGTATAAGAAATTGAAACTATAAAATAGATCATAAAATTAATGAAAGATCCACAAAGAAATCATCACAGTGGTGCACAAAGAGTTCAGAGATGAGGCACTCCCATCAGAAGCCCAGTCTTCAACAGGTTGTCTATATCAGCTGCTATGAATGAAAAGCTCCAGACTTCATTTGACTTAATGTAGGCTAGCTTTTTATCCAGTTCCATTTGCTAAGAAAATGGAAGAAAGAAACCCCTTTAGTTGTTCTGGGAGTTAGTTATATACTTGAGTACAAGGAGAGCTTCCACCTACCCCTGAAGAGTAATCCTCTAGGTGATGTGCCAAGGAGGCTTCAAGGTGGGAGACTCTCACGAGGACAAGGCTGGTCCACCCAGGCCTTTCTTCCAGCCCTGTAGGGACTTGACCCTGGGATGAAACATCTTGGAAGCACCATAGCTGCTGAGGCTTTGTGAAGGGCAGGTTAAGACCTGCCAAGAATCTAGTGGAGAATATTAACTAATTGGCTCAGTTCTTCAGAACAGAGGCTCCCAGGCCTACATGATATCAACAGGGTGAGACTTCATAAGCAAACCTACTCCACCAACTCTAGATAAAACGGTTGATTCTTTCCATTTAAGGATTTGGTTCCTGACAAAAATGAAAATCACTCCATGAGAATAGCAGTTTAAGCCCATATTGGGCATTCATTGTTCATAGTAGAGAGATAAGCCAACTCAAACAAAAGAATGCAGAACTGGATCAGGGATGGGGTGCTGTATTCCTTCTTTATCCTTGGCTTTGGAAGGCCCCAGTTTTGCAGAATATCCATGCCCCTTGATATAGACAAAACAAAACAAAACAAAACAAAAAAAAGCCCCAAACTACTAAGGGAAACTAGACTTCTCTGGAGTAGGTCCTTGAGTGGAGTCCCCAGACGAACAGATCCAACTGTAAACAAAAGGGACTGGGTGCATGTGTGAATGGGGCTTGAGCTGACTTCAATCTTAGGCCTTCTATGCTCCCAGTCTCCCAAGCTCTGCCTACAGTAAATACAGCTTGACGGTCTGCTGGATGCTGTTTTGTTGCTAACAATGTGATTTGTTTCTCTTCAACTATGAATGTGATGGCCTGTCATGGAATCTTTGTTTTCTGTACAACTTTTGGTTAAACAAAGCATTTAGTCAATATTCCTGGCCTCTGCTTTGCTCCTTTGGAGAATGTCCTTTGAGGTGATGTTGGCTTTTTGTAATTGTGAAATCTGCACCTAAACCTCTGCATTGAAATATCCAGTTGTCTTCTGTAAATACTGGAATTACAGCAAAACATTTGTATTGTCCTAATACTATTCTGGATATTAAAGAAATGTAACCACACAGTGGTTGAGTGCTAAGTGTTTAAATAAGAAGTCATCATGTTAGATCCATCCATGTTAGGGTCCACACCTTTGTATGCCCACACCTTTATGGAAAGGAAGGAGTATGAGTGTCTAATATGGATGTGTGTCTCTCTTGCTACCTGTTGTGATTCCCAGTTTGTTCTTCCAAGTTACCAATGACCAATTAAGAGTAAATAATGATGATGAGAGGTCTGTAACTAAAACACTTCCTGTCCCTCCACAAGGGAGGTAGGCAGACCTTGTACGACAGCCCTTTATCAGGTAAAGAAGATACGGAACAGCCATGTTTCCTGTTCAGTCAGATCATTATAAGTGATACTACGTGATACTAATTTCCATCTCCCTCATGTCACTTCACCAGTAAAGTTCAAGATTACATAAACTCTCAGCCAAGAAAAGCCCAGGTTGAGAGTGGGAGGGAGAAGGAAAATAAATGTGTCAGGGAAGAAACCAGAAACACATTTTTTTAAAAAACAAACTTTTTTGAAATAATTTTGAGCTTGCAAAAGAGCTGTAAAAATAATACAAATAACTCTTACATTCCTCACCTACATTATGCACTTAACATTTTGCCACATTTGTGTGTGCATTCTCTCCATGAGTGTACACATTTGCATGCACATCTTTTTCCTCAACCATTTGAGAGTAAATTCAGACATTATGTCCATTTACCTCTAAATTTCTTAAGAACAAGGTTATTTTACAGGCCAAATGCAGTGGCATACACCTGTAATCCCAACTACTCAGAAGGCTGAGGCAGGAGGATCACAAATCTGAAGCCAGCCTGGATAATTTAGAAGACTCTGTCTCAAAATAAAATTTAAAAAGGGCTGATGATGTAGCTCTGTGGTAGAGTGCTTGCCAAGCTTGAGCAAGGCCCTGGGTTCAATGACTAGTACCACAGAAGAAAAAAAAAAGTAGGGGGGGAGAAAAAGAAAGAAAGGCTAATCCACAATACAAATATGAAAATCAGAAACTTTGACTTTGCTACAGTACTATTATGCAATCTATAATCCATATTCAAATTTTACCAGTTACCCAAAGGATTTTTACTTTAAGGATGTCTTTTCCAGTTAAGGATCGAATTCAAGACCTCAGAGTACATTCAGTAGTTAGGTCATGTTTAGAAACCTTTAATCCGGAAGAGGTCCTCAGGTTTTCTTTGTCTTTCATAATATGGTTGTTTATAAGAGTACCTACAATTCAATTTTTATAGTATTGAATTTTAGAGTTTTCTCCCATAATTGTTAATTTTATTTTATAAGTAAAATATTTGTATGTTTGTAAACTATACAAAAAGATACACTCAAAGAAGTGTCACTGCATCTTCTACTTCTTTCATTCCATTTCTATCTTCCTTATAGGTAACATTTTTTTTTTTCAGTCTCCAGTTTTCCCATTTTTTTAAAAAAAATTTTTTTGATTTAGTCGTAGTTGGACACAATACCATTATTTTATTTTTATGTGATGCTGAGGATCGAACCTAGCACCCCACCTGTGTTAGGCGAGCAATCTACTGTTGAGCCACAATCCCTGCCTCCAGTTTTCCCATTTTTATTTCTTTTTTATTTTAATAAACTTTTAGCCATTTTTAGGTATTGTATCCATGGTAAAAATATTATATATATACTTTTATTTTGGTTTCTAAAATTTAAGAAAATATTTACTGACTTTCTACTATGAAAAATAAAGAATTGATTCTTCCATGGTGATAGCTACTTCCCAAACATCCATCCCTCACCTTTCAAAGCTGTGCATACATGGGCATGGGTACTTCTATGAGAAGACCCTTTGTTGGGTACCATATGCTCTCCATCCAGCTAAAGATGTGGGTCGTAGGGAAAAAGACATAGTTTGCAACTTGTTGGAGCATCTGCTGTTACTCAGAGCATCTGCTGTTACATCAAGTAGAACAAGTTGGACAACTCTGGACACATTAAGTAATAACAGGAAAAAGAATGACTCAGTTATATATTCACATTAATCTCAAAAAGGGCATAGTCAGCATCATCCTCCAATAGATTGCACTTTCCCTCATCTCCCATCATGATTCATTAATTAATATACATGTTGATGGTGGTGGAGGAGGTGGGGTACAACCTTATATGTATCTGTGACCTGTGCTTGGGCAAAGAAAGCCAAGCCTGATTTTGCTCATTGCACTTGACTGTCATTCTCACCTGTCTATCTGCCCCAAAGTCCTAATTTCTTATTCTATATGGCTCTTAAACAAGTCTCATACCACTAGATTTCCTCAAGGATACCCTTATGCTCCCTTAAAAGCAGTTGTCCAAAGAGTATTCTTTTTCCCAGTCCTTGGCCATGATTTTCTGGAGAAATAAATGCATCTGTCCTGGAGTCCTAGTGAATTAATTGCCCCTCTCCTTCAACAAAGAATGGTTCGCACTTGACTCTCTTAACCACAGTATCACAAGCTTGGGAATTTGGGCTCATTTCCCATGTATCCAAAGACAGATACAGTCCAGCCACTTTTGATCAAAATCCAAGAAGCTATTGATCATGATATGCTAACTAGACTTTCTACTGAACCATACAGTAGACTGCCATGGATAGAAAGTCCTTTGACAGGTCTGTTGGTACCCAGAAGGTAGAGTCTATTCAGCAAAGTCATAAGAAAAATAAAGTCTTAACTCAAAAAATGATACTAGCCAGGAACTGTGGTGTATACCTATAATCCCAGTGACTTGGGAGATTGATTCAGAGGATCACAAGTTCAAGGCCAGCCTCAGCAATTTAGTGAGACCCTTCTCAAAATAAAATTTTAAAAGGGCTGTGGGTATAGATCACAGGTAGAGCACTTGCCTAGCATGTGCAAGGCCCTGGGCTCAATCCCCAATACCCAATATATAAATAAATAGACAAACAAACAAAGCTGATACTAACTTTTGTTTTATATTCACTATATTTTATAATAAAACAATATATATTTGCTTGGAAAACAACTAAGCACACAACAAAAAAGTACCAGTAATTCTACCAGTCAGAGATACCTCTGCCAAACACCTTAGCATCTATCCTTGTGTTTTCTTTCTATGTTTTACAAACACAGACTTCCAAAAACTCTTAGAGCTGCTAAGGGCTATTTGGCAATTCTCACACAGAAAATATCTAGCCACTCAAACTGTTGAAAGTTGAAAGTCATATAGATATTTCTAAAATCTTATTTTTAAAACAACTATATTAGTTTCCTAGGGCTATGGTAATACCATTCCACAAACTGAGTGGCTTATAAAATAGACATCAACCATTTCACAGTTCTGGAGGGCAGAAATCTGAACTCAAGGTGCCACCAGGGTCCTGTTGCTTTTGAAGGCACACAGGAAGGATTTGTCCTAGGCCTCTCTCCTGGCTGTGGTGGACTCAATTTGTTCTTTGGTTTTTAGATAACCATCTTCTGCTTGTGTTTTCTCACATCATATTTGAAAGAAAACTGGTGCAGGACTGATCACACAGGCACTCCAAAGATAGAAGCATAAGCAGATTTATTGTCAGCCCCCTGACAGGCTGCTCTGAGGAGAGAGAGAGAGAGAGAGAGAGAGAGAAAGCAGCAGGAGAGGAAGAACAGCAGCAACTCCCCCTTGAGTATTACCTTTTATAGTCCAGAATCATGGCCGCCTATCAGGGGCAGTTTTAGCCCTTGCTACTGGCATAGCAAGCATCATCTGATTTTGTGAAAGGCAAGTTACTGTTTCTTGAGAACAGAGAAGAGCAACTTTTTATCTCTCAAGGACAGAACAGAGAACAGCTAGTCTCTATCTCTTGAGAATAAGAACAGTATTCATAAAGTGGGGCTGGGGAAAAGATGATGGCTGTAGTTACGCCAATAATATTCACTCTTTGCATGTCTTTTTCTGTCCAGATTTCCCCCTTTTGTAAGAACACCAGTCACTGGGGTGAGGGCCTACCCTAAAGCTTCGTTTTAGCTTTATTACCTTGCTAAAAGACCCTGTCTCCAAATAAGGCCACATTCTGAGGTACTGAGGATCAAGACTCTAACATATATGAGAACCAAGCAAGAAAAATGATTTTCTGTTTTATAGATGAACTAACTATGGACCCAATTCTGAGTAGCATTGAATGGGAAGGCTTTTAGAACTGCTACTGAGAAAATATGCAGTGTCCTTAACTCCATCATAGAGACCTGGCAGAATAGGCTTTTCCAGATAGGACAGGTATTGTGTATTCTTCAAGTAATATTGGCACTGATCTCCAGGCCTGAAAAAAAAAAAATACAGGAAGCTAAAGATAGGAACACAATATTCCGTGCTCCTTCTAAGTATGCAAGAAGACCTCTGGAGACTGGAGGCCCATATATCTTGAGTCTATAACTAGCTGAATGTGTTCTCTTTAAGAATCTAACCTGAAAATCTGGAAAATCGCTCTCTCTCTCTGTATTGGGAATCAAACCCAGAGCCTTTAACATACTAAACAAGCATTCTACCACTGAGACACACCCTTCCTAAACTTCCAGAATTGCCTTTCTGGGGCCCTGTAAGTTTAACTATCAAAATAGGATAAAATCAAGACCTTAGGCTTTTAATTTTCTATAACCAGTACAAATGGACAATGATCCTGACCAATTTCTTAAAATTTTTAATAAAAGCACTAAGGTTTTTCTCCCCATAATGAATAGTTTTCTAAAATCATTAACTCTTGCTTCAATTTTACTCACAGTGATTTCTCTTTCCTCTACTCGTCACTGGATTCACCTTCTCCAAATGCCTCAAACCTTTCCATTCTCTTTCCTTCACCGTGTCTTTAGATCCAGGAATCACCATTCAGGCAACTTGAGTGCTCCTATGTTTGGCTACTCATTTGTTCAGCAAATAGTTATTGATAAACGTGGAAAGCTTGAGGATGCAGATGGGTATATGATACTATCACTGCCCTTCAAGAACACAAACAGAATGATGGATGGAACAACTATAGGACAAAGAAAAATCACTCCAGTGGTGGCT